CATACATGGGTACACACAAGTGCTGTTAGCATGGGTGATGCATAAGTGATACATACACACACAGCAAGTGCTGCTCTTCTGTTCCTTCCCAGATTCCTGTCAGCTCAGCTACTCAGAAGGTCCCTGCCTAGGGCTGATAGAGAGGTATTACTACAATGGCGCTTCCATGGCCTGTGAGACCTTCCAATATGGGGGCTGCCTGGGCAACGGCAACAACTTCATCTCTGAGAAAGAATGTCTGCAGACATGCCGGACCATAGGTGAGAACCCTCTTTGCCCCAATTCTCCTCGTTCCACAGGCCCGTAAGCAGGAGTTAAGGTTTTCTCAGGGTGGAATCCAGGGCAAGGTTGCTCATAGGAATGCCACATCTAGACACAGGTGGTCTAGGTCAGACAGACATGACCCCTCTCCTGGAGACACATCCAGTTTCCCGTCTGTAAAAGGACCATGCGCTCTAAAGGTCCAGGCTCCTCTGTCCCTGTCTGAGTAGTCCTGTGCATGTCCCATCAGCAGCGGCAAGAGTGACTGACACTCCAGGTCCCTTTCTCCTCCACAGCGGCCTGCAATCTCCCCATAGTCCAAGGCCCCTGCCGAGCCAATGTGGAGCTCTGGGCATTCGATGCAGCGCAAGGAAAGTGTGTCCAGTTCACCTACGGGGGCTGCAAAGGCAACGGCAACAAGTTCTACTCCGAGAAGGAGTGCAAGGAGTACTGTGGAGTTCCTGGTGATGGTGAGGCCCTGGGAGGGGCAGGCAGGGCAGTCCTGGTGAAGGTGGGGGCTGGAGAGTCCAACTATAGCAGCCTGGTCCACTCTTGGGGCCTCAGCTCCTCCCTTGGGAAAAGGGCCACAGCCAGGAACATGACCTAGCTGGTCCTTGCTGGACCAGAGAAGATGACAGCCAGGCATCAGCAGGAGGCCTGCAGGGCAGCTGGGGAGCTTGATGGTGCTGACCTTCAGATCCTTTAGGCTAACCAGCAGGACCGAAGGGCACGCCCTTCCTTGAGTAGTGTTGAACCTAAGCCCTGTCACATGCTAAGTGCTGAGCTTTTTATTTTTATGTTTTTGTTTTGAGGCAGAGTCTCAGCCAGTTGTTCCGTTTGCCTTAAATTTTCCCTGTAGCCCAGGAAGGCCTCGATTTATCATCTTCTTGCCCCGTCTTCCTGTCACTGGGATCATAAACCTGTGCCACCAGGCCTGGCCACAGGGAAATTAGAAGCCAGCTTTACACTCTTGTAAAAAGGGACAAAGCACCCACCTCCCCACTTCACAGCACCCACTGGAGAGTTAGTGCTCAGCTGGCAGGGGCTGCTCTTAGAAGGACGACCAGGGCATGGTGGCCACTTAGAACCCTCAGGGCCTTGCTTGTTCCACTGGAAACAGTACGCACAGCAAGTCAGAAGGTCAGGCTGCTCCAGGCAACAGCCACAGGAGAGAAGTCATTTAGCAAGTAACGTTTCAGCCCAGTCCAAGAACCCAGCCTGAGTTTCTCTGTATCTGCAGGGTACGAGGAGCTAATGCGCAGTTGAAGGTACAGTCTGCAAACCAGAGAGGACAGCCACTGTCTGTCCCAGTGTGGGCTAGCCCAGGAGATCTGGACCCAAATAAAACAAGCTGTCACCTCTTGGTATTCTATGTGTTGACATCTGTCATCGTGGTTGGAATAAGGGGATTGCAGGGGAAGGAGTAACCCAGCCTTCCAGGAGAGGAAGATGTATGGCTTGCAATGGGACACCTTCCTGTAGCACAAGACCCTGGCTGTGCACCACTTCAAACACAACAGTCCCTAATTCTGCAGTAGGGCAGAGTGGGGTTATTTTGTTTCATCTCAACAAACAGAAAAAAAAAAAAAAGAAAGCCCAGAAACTCTGGCACGTGTTTCTAGAAGAGGTTGGATGGGGTCACGAAGACCCAAGGACGAAGAGATAGTGGCGTCCTGGAATGTCCAGGTGCCTGAGGTTGTCCCCTATCCTGTCACACTCAAGTCCTTTGTAGTGGCTTCTTCCAGCTGTCAGCTTGTCCCATACACAGCCCAAATCACCTGCAGCTGCAGCACCTGCTGTCTCTCCACCTTGGCCTGGAACACCTGTCTCCTGGGGTCCTCACCCAGCCCTCTGCTGGCCTTTCAGGTGCAATTGCACCAACCAGCTGTACCCAGCACTGGGCTGAGCTGGCTTCCTGCAGCTCGAGGGCAGGCATGGCCCCTGCCCTGGGGGTCTCCTATAACTGGTGCTAATCATTTTCATCCAGTTCCCGACAGTGGGCAGAGAGTGAGCAGAGGCTGAAGATTCCCAGCTTGGTTTGCTCTGGAGTGGGAAGTCATCCTTGGAGGAGTTCCTGGTGCTCCGGGAAGCCACCATAGGCCCCAGAGTTGACGGCCAGTTCTGCAAGATTTCTTTTCATACCACTAGGCCGCCCGCTGACATGCTCTGTCAGGCAAGGAGGATGTCTAGAACACTCTACAGTCTCAAGACATAGAAAGACACTACCTTGTCCTTCACAGTCTGGGGCTTGAAGTTCCTAGTTTCCAAGAGAAGAGATTTTTTTTTTGAAGGGACGATATTTATGCTCACGGCTCTGGTTTGAAGTTAGAAGCCTCGAGGGAGACAGGCAACTGTGCAGGGAGAAGTCTCAGAGAGGTTCCCCATGGGGCTAACAAACACCATTACCATGTAATCCATCCTCACATACCAGAGATAGCTGCCAATGGGAGTTGGAGGTGCCACTCTGAATTGGGGCATTTGGGGCTGTCTGGGGGACAGGTCTTAGACAGAGAGTACAGGTTCCATATGCCGGCTGGCTCCCACCAGTGGTGGAAGGTCAGGTTCACGGGGTAGATTTTTGCATAATTCTGAATTGCCTATTAAAAAGTGCCCTCATGAAAATCTGCTCAGATCTCGGAGGCTTTGAGATAAGATCCTTCTGTGTAGCCCAGGCTGGCCTCACACCCATGACTGTCCTGCCTCTACCTAGCCAGCTGGGATCAGACGTATGGGCTACCCCATGCTGATGACCTGCTCAGTGCTCATGGGAAGACACACCAGGGGCCCGGGGCTTGCCACAGCTTTAAATGAACAACAGTGTGCCCCAACAACACAGTTATCCTTCTACTGCAATGGGGTGAGGCCTGCCTGTAACCCAGTCCCAGGAATTCACACCACTCCTACCCTGAAAAGGAACACAGCACATTCGGTCCTGCCATAGGGATTTAGTGGCTACTAGTCAGATTTGCTTGCTACAGTACAGACACAGCCACTTAATAAACACCTTCTTAAATGATCATACAGCCCAGAGGCTGGCCCTTCAGTGGTGAGGTCCATAGGCCATGGCCTGACCTTATTTGACCCTCAAGGTCAAAGGAACTCAGAAAACTCTGTGGATGCTGCCGTCTTCCTGATAATTTCGGCTGTGGAGAAACTTCTGCACCAAGTTTACCTGCTGGCACACAGACGCCATGGTTCCCTTGTTGAGAAGCTCCCATGGGGCATGCCTGCAGGGCAGGGCTGTTGCCTCTGGGAAGGAGTCAAGTATAGAGATGATACCTGCACATAATCTTATATGATTTTTTGCCAGAAGACCCAAGTGGCTCAGCTTCTTAGAGTGGTCAGGGACATGGGTGGGACCTGAGGTGGGAGGGGTCTGTGCTCTACTCACCTGGAGACCAAGAAGTCAGCCTTTCCAGGCTGGGCTCCCCTGGGGTGTTCTACCCTCCCCTCTAGACAGGTCTTGGTTTATTTTTTGGTGGGATCTTCTCCCCCTCAACTTTGAATCTACAGAAGAAAAGCATGAATGTCCTCTTGTCTGTGACATCAGAATCAGTTGTGGGAGCCAACTCTGTGTTCACAGTCCCAATGCTATCAAGACAGGGCTAGTCTTCCCCAGGGAAGACTCTCATGGTCTACATGAGAGCTATTTACGCACACACACTGCATGGGAGACTCCGGGCACTGCATTAAAGGTACCTCGTGGACAGCTCTGAGGCCAGGCTTACTTTGATGTGTGTGTGCCTTATGTCCTAAAGCAGCAGGACTGATTAAATCCATCCCTTATTCTGAAACAAACCTTGACAAGTCATCTCACAGCAGGTCCTGGTCTCCTTTGATACCTTCTCCAAACCCATCAAACACTGGCTGAGCCAGGTCTATGCTGTGACAACCAATGACCCTTAGATAGGGAGTGGGCAAGTATGACTTCAGAGTTCAAGCTATCTGGGTGCCTGACCTCCGTCCTCCTCACCCAGCCCTGTGATGGCACGGCCCAACTCCAACCCTAAGAAAAACACCACACACCAGAGTTCCTAGAGGCAGTTTTATTGTAAAACCATAAATACAACACTGATGACATGAACTGTGAACGCGCTCGGCGACTGGTCCTCCAGTCACTGAAAGGATATCTTTCTGCCTTGGCATCAACCAACTGGGAAATGGTTTGGGGGTCGGGCGAGGAACTGAATCTTGGGCTGGGGCTTTTGGTGACTTAAGGAACCCAGTGGAACCTTCCACTTCTCCATGGGAACATTCCACTTTTGAATGAAAACAGACAGGTAAAAACAGCAACATTGAAACAGCTCAGTTTTAAATTTTATTACTTTGTAAAAATCTCTCTTTTTAAAATTTTTCTGTTCCTTTCCTCCATTTAACATCAGTAAATTTTTTAAACAGCATGAAACCTATTTGTCTGTAAAATGGAGAAACAGTATCCAACCAAAAGCAAAACACCCCCAAAGGACACACAGAAAACCCTAAATAAACCCACAAGTTTGACCTTGGGAGTTTATGTATCACCAGAACCGGCAACTCAACCCCATGCAATGTGGCTCCTAGAAGGACTGCGGGACCCACACCATCGGGACAGGAGACCACCAGCGACATCTCTGTTAATTAACACAGCAAGTGTGACACTAGGGAACTTTTTAAATACAGTACATGGTACACAGGGTTCCTAAGATAGCCCTGCATAAACCCCCGTGAAGACTTGAGCCAAGCACTGGCTGTTTATAAAAATATTATGTTGCTACAAAAGTATAAATTAATGCTACTGGTATTAAGAAATATTAAACACATAAAACTTATAAGGATTAAGAAAAATATTCATTAATACCTGTAGAAAACTCTGGCCTAAAAAAGATATTTTTTGTGTGTGTGTTTGCTTTTTTTGTAATTTTTTTGTGTTTTTAATTTTTTTAAAGATGACTTGAGTTTCTTGCACTCAAAGCGAGACACGGATGTGTCTATGGTATTGCCTAGAACGTCATTACTACTGAGACAGGATGGGGACGCACACACGTGGTCACTGAGTTGGGGGGCAGGAGGGATGGGGGCACCAAGGCGTTCTCAAGATTTACCTGATGTGAACGAATCACCCACGTGAACTTGTGGGGGAAAGGAAAAAGACAGGATCAGGAGACAACTGAAAATAACTCATGCCTCTTAAAAAATATCTCTGCTCTGGGTTGTTGTACAAAATGGTTTCCTGATGCTTGGGGTCCGGAAGGCCCTGCCACATGGCTCTTGCGCTTTCGTGGCTGGCCAGACCCAGCCTACGTCTGGCCACAGGCTTGAGCCCTGATGGGGAAACCACCCACCCTGACTGGGTGGGAGAAGGGTCCTTGGAGAGCCTTTGGGAGGAGCCCTCCTTCCAGCTGGAAGGACAAGGCTGGGCTGTACCCCTTTAAGGAACTTTGGTTCAAAGAGTCAAGGTTTCCCAGTGGGAAGCTTGGGTGGGTAGGACCTTGGTGGGTCATGATGCTAATGCCAACTCCAAGCCTAGTCAATTTCCCATATGGAAATACAACCTTGAAGGCGCCACCCTCTTCCATGTGAAACTTCAGAGACCACAGATTCCCTTGGTCAAAGCCTGGGCTCTCTAGACTGCCATCCTCAGACCCAAATGAGATAGGAAGAAAAACAACCACAGCCATAAATCCCCCCCCTGGAGACCCTGTAAAGGGGAGACAGGAGGGAAACGTAAGAGGAAACACTGCATCATTGGTTCACCATAACTGGCCTAGCAAATGTTAGCCACAGTGAAAGGGAGGGCCAACCTCCTTGCCAGCTCTCCCACTGCCCTGGGGACAGGAGCCCCTGTGTACTGCCTCCAGGGTATAGCCTGAGCCTCAGTCTCTTGGTTCTGCCTCCAGAAGCCTTCCTCTAAATATATTCCAGACACAATAGTGTCACACCACTGCCAAGGCCAGGAAGCTGGGGGCTTAGCACAGCTTATGTGGTAAGGAGTGCCCTGTGCGCTTCTCTTGAAGCATGGCATAATAAAGTCTGGGGTGGCATCTCACAGGGTCTCTTTTCACCTGCATACCAGCTTTGATCCTTCCTGGTGACCCTGTGTCCTCAGAGTGAGTATAGACAGTGCCCAGACTCTCCTCAGGTGTCCCCCTTCTTGGGCACTCTAGCCTGTGGCCAGGAAAATAGGGGACCTTGCTCAAAAGTGGGCTCCAAAGGCAGAGATTCAGCTTCACAGTGGAAAACATGCCTTGTAGAATTCTTCCATTTCTTCAAAGTGCAGGAGGTATATTTGTCAAAGTGAAATGAAGACTATTGGCCAGCCTGCACAGCAGGGGTCAGGACCGTCCTAGAACCTCAAGCTGGGCTCTCATCACTGTCACCGGTTGCCCTTCCCACCAGGAAACAGGCACCCTTCCCCGGCTAAGAGCAAGCCTGTCCCACAACGCCAAACACAAAGTCTTCCAAGTGGGATGGGGACATCACTGGTGCTGTAGCACAAGGCTTCTGTGCAGGCAATCCCTAGGGATGAGATGCAGACAGTTGTGCTCGGGAAGCACCGTCTTGTTTCTAGGTGCTGAATATGCCATGCAAAAGAGGTCTGGCAGGTAGACTTGGGTCCTGGGAACACAGCTGTGCTAAGAACAAGGGCTTCCACGTACAATTGCTCCTCCCAGACCTGAGACCTTTTGAGCGGTGAACCCCAGGCAAACAAGTCACAATCCCTGGCTTGGGTTTCATGAGTGAAACAAAGTGACCTCAACTTTGCGGAGAACATCGCTAATGGAAGTTCATCTTCTCTACTTCCATGTTTGGGTTCACAGACGTCAAAGCAAAGACAATTTTTGGCCAGGGAATCACACAGCTCAAGGTAAGCTATGAGAACAGAGATAGAAATGGCCCAGCTTCCTGGTCTCCCAGTCCCCCAAAGCCTATTGTGTAAAACTTTAATGGACACAGAACGAGGAGGCAGATGACAAAAATCTTTCTGAAGGTCAAGGCCAGCCCAGGCAATTGGAGATGAATTGGAAGAGCCTATCTTAGTGCTTTGGCTGAACTAGAATTTGGTAAGGTGGCTATTGCTGTTGCGGGGGCCTGTGGATGAACCCGGGAGATCTTTGGGATTTATGAACTGTTTGTTGCAGGATGTGCACCGTGTGATAGGCACAGTCTTTCCGGTTGGTGACACTAAAGAGAAATGATTGACAGCTTGCCACTTTATAATCTGTGAGGATGAGGCAGCCTGGGAGACAGGTTTCTGAGGATTAATTGGGGGCTCACATTGGACCTACAGAGGTGATCTAAGCCCAGGGATAGAGTCTAGGTGCGAACAAACTGGACAGGAAGTGACGGCCTATGACCAGATGCCTGAAGTTTAACACAAATTTTCTTTCTGGAGGGCAAATGTTCCATGCTTCAAAAAGAATGCTTGAAATGCACATATGGGCTTGGCTGATGCGAGCCAGCAACAGCAGCTCAGCCTAGCTTTGACTCTCACTGACTGCACTGAGCACCCAGCTTCCAGTGTGGCTACAAGTGTCAGGTTGCGGCCCCTTTCCCAACAGCTGAGGGAGACTGGAGGTGTCCACCATTAGTCATCCAGAGCCCATCTCCTGGAATGTCCGAAGCAGTCTGAAGACATTCCTACATTCTTCAGGGAGTGACATTCAGTTCCTGTCTGGATTTCTCCACTGTGAACAGAGGTTCCTCTGATGCTAAGACCCAAATTGAAGACACTGTGATGGAAATGCCTAGAACTTCCCCTGGAGTAGACACTGTGTGGAGGTTCCTGAGAACAAAGCTTGCTGGAGTGAATGTGGACACAGTCTTCTCTGATCTATTTGTGTATCTGAGAATCGGCAGGAGAGCTCGGGTAGTCTGCTGAGGCAAAGAGTGCAGGCTTATTCTTCAAGGACAGTGTTTTGGAACCTGGAACGTAACAAGAGGCCTTTGAGTTTTTAAACCATCTTCACCCCTCCTGTTGGGGATCTGGAGATAGGGCTATGGGTACAGTGCTTTTGAAGTCGAGGTATCTTTCAGTTGAGTAATGCTTTAGGACTGGGAAGAGGGGGCCAGTCCAAGCCCCAAGTGGTAGAGGTGCTTTTGCAAATAACCTACAGAGGTGGCCATTCTCAGCCTGATGTGCATGCAAGCCCATCCCACAGCTGTGGTCGCCGGAGGACCAGGGACACCAAGTTCTTTATTTATGGGGTGGTTGTGCTCATCATCCTGTGGAGAGAATGGTGTCCCCTCTTGGCATCTGGGCTGTGTAGAAGCACTAGTTCCCAGCCAGGGGGAAGCAGCAGCAAGGGCTAACAACCCCTTTCACAGCGTTCAGTCAAGCTCATCCGCCCACAGAATGCCAAAAGTTCAACCAGCAGTGTACTGTGCCCCCCCCCCAATGCCCTGACTGCACGTCTGAGGTGCCTGTGGAGACCTCTGAGGATTACAGACTCCCAGGGGAGAGAGGGAGAGAGACTGCGGGTCTGGCAGACTCAAACGTGGAGTCCCTGAAGAGCTGGAGGTCAGGATGTGGTGAATAGTACGGAGGTGAACATTCAAGAGGTGGACATGCACACTACCACAGGCAGGAGCCAGGCAGTGGCCTCCTGCTGACATTCAGGACCCCTAAAGCCACATGCTGCCCACTATGGCTTCCACCAAAGCCACAGCCAAGCAACCTCCTCTCAACTCCCTACTCCAGATGCGCAGCCATATCCTTGACCGCTGACACGTGAGTCCTGAACACCACCACTGAGATGAGCTTAGTTTACAGTGTGACATGGGAACAAAAAAGGGGCAAGTAAAACAAACAAAACTGCAGAACGTAGCTACAACACTCAGTGCCTCCCAGCAGAGTCTAAATCAAAGGTGAAAAGAAACTGAATCCCCAGAGAGATAAGAACATTGCTAAAGCGTTGGAGGAATAAAACAAAAACAAAAACAAAAAACCTTGCGTGTAGAGTCAGCTACACATCTCTGGAAAAAAAAATGTCTTTTTTCTCTCTCTTATATTAAAAAATATCAGTTTTATATTTTTAAAGTCTCCTTTCCTGACTTGGGGAGATAGATAGTGTGTATCTAAGGCAGCTGCCCCAGACATCCAAGGGGGAGGTCACAGGGACAACAGCTTAATGCCCTGAAGGTGAAACAAGAAATGAAGTCCAGTGCAGAAACTGTCCACCAGAGCAGCTGGGGCAGAGGAGGGGACCACGGGCTGAGGGGTCGGAGGAACGCAAAGGAAGGGTTGGAGATGGGGAGGGGAGTTCAAGCCACTCCGCTGCCTGAATACTTCACAATCTCAGCTTCTCCCACTCTGCACACCTGAAAATGGAGTCCTTTGAGCCCCTGCCCGAGGAAAGTGAAACCATACCACTTTCCCCGTCTCTCGGCTTTCCTGACACACCCAGCTCATTGCACACACGCCCAAGAACAGGCATGTGTACACATACCAGGTGTGTGTGTGTGTGTGTGTCTGTGTGTGTGTGTGTGTGTGCGTGCTCTGGCTGTGCACTGAAGCATGAGCTCCCCACACCCTTTACCCATGCAATGTCACATGTGTGGGTATGGACACATGTGTGCGCGCGCACACACACACACACACACACACACATACACTGAAAGAAAAAGCACTTAAGTTTCCAGGGGCATTTACAATGAGGTTCCACAGTGTTTAGAACTTAAATTTCTTTGTGACAGTATTGTGTGTGTGTTTTCCTAATGTTTTTCTTTTCATCTTTTGTCTTTTATTTGTTTTCCCCAAAGTCGAGTCTTAAAGCATGTTAGATTTCAAAAACATGAGCTTGTTCATGTCTTCCGGACTAAGCAGACGCCTCCTTTTAATCAGGAGAGCTTGCTCACACATATTTACACACCCGCTTCGCGCCCCCACGGCAGGAACAGCCAGCAGCCAGAAAGCAAGCTTGGCAAGTTTCGTGTGCTTTTGGGTCACACATGACCAGTACTGGAAGAGATCAGGAGTGGCCTGGAAGAGAGGTTCCTGAAGGTAGTCATATACTTCGTTCTTGCCCAGCCGGTCATCCTCCTGAGCTGTGGGGTGTTCGCCCGCAACTGAGCGTGCCTTCTTGGCGGCAGGCTCAAAGTCGGCCTCCTCGGCCCAGGACTCCTTCACCTCATTGATGAGCTCACACACCTTGCTGATGATCTCCTCGTGCTGGTAGGGTGGCACCGGCCGCAGTTTCTGCTGAGGATCCAGGATCATGGCCACCTTGTGGGCTGGGTGCACCTTGAAGTTCTCCTTGAGAGCTTCTAGGAAGAGATGGCAGAGCTTGCTGACGGTGCCTGCGTCGTTGGCTTTGGCTGTGAACAGCTTCTCTAGCCGGACATAGGTGGGCAGCACCAGCTGCAGGGTGGGCTGGCTCTCATTGCTGAGCTCGATGACTGCCTGCTTCACAGGTGTCAGGATGGCGGCCAGATTGCTCAGCAAGTGCTTGTTGAGGCTCTGGATGAGGTTCATTTTCTTGGCACGGCTGTAGAACTCGCAGATCTGCTCATAGCGCTCATGGACCAGGAGCAGCGAGTCTGTGACTGAGTTCCAGCAGGGTGGCGGCGATGTCTCCTCCAGAGAGCCAAAGGTCTCCTTGGCCAGGCCCGTAGAGCCTGCTAAGTCCTCACACACATTGAGCAGCTCGATGACCTCATGCATGCTGCGGGCCTGCAGTGTCCGCTTGCTCAGCACACTCTGCACCACTGAGTTCAAGGCACAGGCTGAGCAGCGAAGGCACATGCCAGCCTTGGAGAAGGCAGATGTGCTCACCCGGCAGTCTGTGACGTACACAGTCCGGATCTCTGACATCACAAACTCTGACAGCACGTTCTGCACCCAGTGATGCACCAAGTCACCGCTGTCACGAATGTCTGCACCCTTCACACCAAGCACATAACTCTTGATGTGGTTGCCCTCAGCCTGGTAGGCCGTAAGGATGTAGCAGGAGTCAGGGCCAACACTCTGGGAGTGGCACGTGACACCAATGCCCAGGCAGGCATTGCTGCCCAGGGCGCATGTCACCTTCACCTTCACCTGGTTGTACATGCGTGGTAGGTGCTTCAGTGCTAGTGTGTTAAAGTTGCCCAGGATCTCAGTGACTGAGAAGGCCCCATAGCGGGCGCCACTGTCTACCAGGGTTTGGGCCAACTTGAGGAACTCCTTCCCACTGACCACGCTCAGCGCACCCAGGTCAGCGCACATGACCCTCAGTAGCCGTTCTGCAATGTTCTGTCGCTCCTTCTCAGGGATTACACTGTTGGGTGTCAAAGCACTAGTGGCGGCTGGCAGGGGACACAAAGAAAGAAGGATTACTTCTGACATTCAAAGTTTAACTTGGCAGCAGTAATACTCCAAAGGGCTCGTATGAAGAATAGCAGATAGATTTAGACTTGCATACAAATTGGTGTGGTCTGCTTTTAACAGCTGACAGCACCATAGGGATAAAGTTCTATGCCATGGGCATGAGAACTGTGTATGGTGGTATGTGTGCAACAACACACTTGCCACAGGAGCCAAACACCTAAACCTTTGAACACAACCTTTTCCCCAACAGGAATTACATAGGAGTCTTTAGTGAGTAATGTGTTTTAGGGACAGCGTCAAAAAAAAGAGCTTATGAAGATTGTGAAAATGTGGAGTTCTAGTTGTGATTCTGGCATTAAGTAGTGCTTTGGACACAAGCATGCACAACCCTTCTTCCTGGCCTCCTTTTGCCTATCCACAAGTTAAAAGTCCCTGCCTGAGTCCTAAGGACAGCATTTAGTTCACAGGAAGTACAGACAGTAATGGCGGGGACACGGCACAGCTGCAGCGGGTTGGCGCTGGGACCTACTGTTGTTGGCACTGTTCCTCTGGGCCTGTGGCTTCCACTTCTCCTCCACCGCAGCAGGTGGAGATCGGGACTGGCTGGAGGCGATGTTGTTCTCACTGTCAGCTGCAGGCACAATGGAACAACGGGTTACTCTGAAGGCTATGGGGGCCAGGGGGAAAGCAACCCATGACCCCAGGGAGTTCAGTTTAGGCTTCTCAGAAACTGTCTATGCTTTCAGAGTCCCACCTGCACACTCTGGAAACTGAGGACAAAGGTGTGGCTACCACACCACTTCAGGAAGGACTATGAGGATGACAGGGAAGAGGCCAGGACACAGAGGACTCTTAGAACATGGGCCCACCACCGCCACGAAGTACAGCCCTGAAGTGTGTGTGCACCCCAGTACTCCAAAGTGTCTCAGTATCTCCCACTTCTTCAAGGTATACTAGATAATCAGACCAGAACAAACGTTGTCAGGGGTTAACAAGAGACTCTGTATGATGATGAACTGGCCAATTTACCTAGAATATGAGTTTAAAAACACACATAACTTTACACACAAAAGAGGAAACTGAGTTGACACAAAATGGACAAATTACCACTCGAGATCTGACTTATTTCTCTTAGCAACTGTTACTAAGCATAAAAGCGTTGGGGGTAGAACATACATGGATTGAGCAGACAACAGGAAGTCTATATACAGGCTGTAGAGATGACTGAGGGGTTAGGAGTATATACTAATCTCCCCGAAGGCCTGTGTTCTACAGCTCCCTACACTGTAATTCCAGCTCCAAGGGCTCTAGTGACCTCTTCTGGCCTCCACAGGCATCTCACAAACACGTGGTATTCACTCATTCAGACATATACACATAAAACAAGTATTTTAAAAAAGAAGTCTGACAATAAGCAACTTGAGCCAAAAGAAAGGAGAAGAAATAACTCAGCAGAAATATAAATGAATGAAGTAGAAAATGGACAAACATAAAAGAGCAAAACCAATAAAAACAAACACCAAATCTTTGTAAAGATCAGTCTACTTGATAAAGCTCTGACCAGAGTCTATAAACCATCAGGACAAAGAAAGGAAAGAAGTCATCACTACAGAGCCCACAGATGCTAAAAGAACTAAAAGTAACTATAAACTTTAGGCCAATTAATTCAACAAGCTAGGCAAGACAAACACCTCAAAGACACAAAGAAACAAAGCTCATCCCAGAAGAAATGGATAATTTGAAATTCTGTGCCCATTAAAGAAACTGCTCATAGTTAAGTAATTCCCATAAAGAACGCTTAAAAGTTCACTGGTTGATTTTTATGAAAAACTTAAGTAAGTAATAATATAAAGTCTAAACAATCGATTACCCTGTTCTCACTACTGTACTTGACTAGTCTTAAAAAAATAAAAAAAATTAAAAAAATAATATAAAGTCTATACAAATTCTTCTAGAAAACATGGGTAGTAAGACCATCCCACAACTCATTTTATGAGACTAGTATTGCCATTTGTTTGATGGCAGCCATTCTGACTGGAGACGGGATCTTCTAATTCAACATTGAAAAATACTTTTATGCATATTTGTGCACCACAAGCATGCCTGGTATCTGCTGAGATTAGAAGAGGGTTTTGGATCCACTTGGACTGGAGTTACAGACAGTTGAAAGCTGCCATGTGGGAGTGGGGAATTGAACCTGGGTCCTCTGCAAGAGCAGCCAATGCTTTAAATGACTGAGCCAGCTCCCGAGTCCCAGAAGATGAAATCTTAAGCGGTTTTAATCTGCATTTCCCTGCACTGCGGATGTTATACACTTCCAAAAGTGTTCATGTGCCATTAGTACTTCTTCTTTTGAAGACTCTCTGCTTAATTCCATAACCCCCTTCTAATTGGATTGCTTGCTTTCTTCATGTTCATTTATTGAGTTCTTTCTAGACACTAATCCTCCGCCCAATATACAGATAAGATTTTTTTCTTCCATTTTGTAGGTTACCTCTTTATTCCAATAGATTCTTTTGCTGTAAAGAAACATTTTAGTTTCAGGAAATTGCATTGATTCACTGTTGATCTAGTTCCTGAGCTGTGAGTACCGCTCAGAAAGTCTCCAGCTATTGAGGTGCACTCCCCACTTCCTTCCTTGCAGGTTCTGGGGTCTCCAGTTATTGAGGTGCACTCCCCACTTCCTTCCCTGCAGGTTCTGGGGTCTCCAGCTATTGGGTGTGCTCCCCACTTCCTTCCCCACAGGTTCTGGGGTCTCCAGCTATTGGGTGCGCTCCCCATTTCCTTCCCCACAGGTTCTGGGGTCTCCAGTTATTGAGGTGCACTCCCCACTTCCTTCCCTACAGGTTCTGGGGTATTAACTCTCATGCTAAGGTTGTTGAGTTTTGTGTGAGATGAGAGATAGAGATCTAGTTTCACTGTAAACTAGCGCAGACACATTGGAAATAGGGTTCTCAAATAAATAAATAAACATACACTAACAAAGAACTAGAAATCAAGCTACCAGATGACCCAGCTATATTTCCCCTGGGCACACGCCCCAAAGATCTTATATTACACTGTAGAGACACTTGCACACCCATGCTCAGTGCTGCTGGATTCACAACAGCCAGGAAATGAAAGCAGTCTAGATGTTCATCAACTGATGAATGGATAATGAAAATGTGGTACAAATACACAATGGAATTTCATTTAACTATAAAAAAATAAATTATGACATTTTCAGGTAGATGACTGGAAGTAGAAAGAAAAATTATACTGAATGAGATAACCCAGACCGGAAGAAATACCACACTGTCTCTTTTAAATGCAAATTCCAGCTTACACTCTAGCTTTAGCCTGAAAGAGATGAGAAAGAGGACATCAGGATGCGGGTGGGAGAGTGGGGGGTAATGTGGGGTGTTATAAAGCCAGGAAATGATGGCACACACCTTTAATCCCAGCACTTGAAAGGCAGAGACAGACAAATCTCTGGGTGTTTGGGGTCAGCCTGGTTTACAGAGTGAGTTCTAGGAGAGCCAAGGCTACAAAGAGACACCCTGTCTCAAAAAACAAAACAAAACGGAGGGGAGGGCAGAGGGGAGGGCGCCAGAGCATGGGAAAAGAAAAGTAGAGAGTAGCAACCCTGGGGGCAGAAGTGTTTACCTGGGATAGGGAGTGGGGGATGGGGATGGAGTGGGCGAGGGTTAGCCAAAACATGGGATATACAAAACAAGCCCTGAAAGTTCTTACTATTTTGTAATGCAATTTAAAAATATAAAAAGTAGATTGATGAGAGACATCCGTCATGACTTGATAATGCCTCTCCTATAGTCAGTGAGTTACCATACAAAATTCCAGCTGCCAGGTGTTGGTACCTCCAAAAGAGTTGGTCAGGCCCCCAAACAACTCAGGCTCTTGTAGTCCTCTTGGCTGCCAATCAAAACTAGAGTGTAAATCCCTATGCTGAAGACTCTACATACATCAGTTAGAAAACAGAGAGCTGGAGCTCAGCTGGGAAACTTCCTCCTTCCTAGCTCTCTTCCAAAGAGCCAGGGTTGCATGCCGGCAACCCTAGTAGAAAAGGCTCCAAAGGACTTCCCTAGCTGTGAATCTTACTACAAAACCAACCTTCTAGAGATGTGCCCACCTGAGTACTAATGGTACAACTTAGGTAATCAATTAATCACATTATGATTCAATTTGAACCTCACTCTACAGGAAGTAATTCATGCTTAGTATTGAAAGCCAGGTCAACGATCCATACTTGGCAAAGTCATAGGCCCAAGGGATAACTCAGAACTGTTCTTTGACTAAAATGACTAAGAAACTCTTTCACACAAATAGACAAAAGCTATTCTTAGTCTGAGATAAGCCTCTTTTTGGTGAATAGAGGTGACCTCAGATACTCAGGACTGCCCAAGTTACTGAGAGTAAGTGATGTCTGAGTGATCCCTAAAAAAAAGAAGAATGTATGCCATCCCTCCCGAGGCTCTGGGACACCGAGGACAAGGGGTCAGGAGGAGTGAAAGAGCTGCAAGACAGGGAAAGGACTGAAAAATGTCACCTAGGCACGACACACGAGCCCACAGCAGCCGTGGATGTGGGAAGGGCCATGGAGCCCCACCCACTTATGACTAACCGATTAGCTGTAACAGACTCTGGGAGATGAGGGAGTAGCCATCTTCAGCTGTGTACCCACGGCTACGTTCACCAATAGCTAGTTCCAAACCTACTGTCTTAGTTAGGGTTTCTATGGTTGCAACAAAACACCGTGACCAGAGAGCAGGCTAGGGAGGAAAGGCCCAACACTTCAGCAGTGTGGTTCACCACGGAAGGCAGTCAGGACAGGAACTCACACAGGGCAGGATCCAAAAGGCAGGAGTTGAGCAGAGGCCATGGAGGAATGTTGCTTACTGAATTGCTTCCCATGGCTTGCTCTGCCCACCTTCTTATTGAACCCAGGACCAGCAGCCTGGGATGGCACCACCTACCATGGACTGGGCCCTCCTCCACTGATCACTAAACAAGAAAATGCCTTACAGCCGGATCTCATCGAGGCATTTCCTCAACTGAGGCTCCTTGTTTTGATGCCTCTAGCTTGTGTCAAGTTGACACCATAGAACCACCCAGTGCACCCACGGTCACACAGAGCCACCCATGGTCACAAAGAACCAAGCATGATCACACAGAACCAGCCAGTGCACCCATGGTCACACAGAGTCACCCATGGTCACACAGAACCAGCCAGTGCACCCACGGTCACACAGAGTCACCCATGGTCACACAGAACCAGTCAGTGCACCCAAGGTCACACAGATAGCTGTAGTTAAATTCTGAGAGTCACAAAACAAAACAGATGTGAATGGGAGGAAGTGCTTTGTTTTTGAGGGGAGGGGTGTGAATAGACAGGAGTGGAGGAAGTTGAGAGAGGGTAAAAAACGAGAGTAATCTGAACACATTCTGCATATATTCACATACCCCAGATTGAAATTTGTGAAGTCTGAAATCCTTCTGTTTCCAGGCATTTCAGAAGAGCAATACTCAGTAATAGGTACTTGTCAGGCTGGGTCTTAGAGTGCACCATAGTCTGAATACATCACCCCTGCAACCTTCACTTTGGGAGGAAAGGCTTGAGAAGCTCTCCCAGTG